ATAAACACAGGTTTAACAAAGGAAAAATCTAGAAGTTTGAACAAGTTTTCATATACTACAATTTTCCGAGCAATTTTAAGTAACAAGATCCCAATCTCCATCAACTATACGTACAGATCATCGAGGTAAAACTATGTTGGTTTGCGGCTATTTCCCATCATCACGTGACTTTCTACCTTGCACACTTATCTTTCACCATGATCCCCTCTGATGGTGCTGGTCCTGATCCAGTGCTGAAGAGGTCTTGCCCATTTAAAAGTGGGCACTTATTCAAAGGTTACATCACAAGTAGGGGTGGTTTGTTTTTTTTTGCCATTTTGAAATAAATCAATTCCATGTACTCTCAAATAAACTCCGTGATTTTAAAAGACAGTGCTTGCGCCCAATGTGGAAGCACTCTTGGTTTGGGGAGTGCTGAAGTCACAGGTACACGCCCGTAAAGAGTCTGGCAATGACATCCAGTGTATGCCCCACATCTTCGCTGACAGCTTCAAGTGTCATGTGTGCTCATAGACCTGGGCAATTCTATTAGATCAAAATGAACACCTGCCTGTGGTATGGAAACACTGACAGATGAACAAAGCTCATTTTGTTTATGTCTATGCCCCAACAGAAAACATCCAACAAGGACCATTGCATCTATGTTTATTTAATTTTAACAAAAATAGAACAATGTATACCAAATGGAAAAAAAAATGTATCCAGAAAAAAAATGATGAAAATGTTTCGGGAACAGAAATTACTAATATCAGAAGGCATTACCCAGGTGTCACGAAAATACATTTGCCACTTCTAATTGGTTATCCGTGTAAATTAAATTTAGCAACCACATCCCCGTTCACTACTAAGAATTTCTAAATCATTTCAAAGTGTAACATAAAACTGACAACATCCCTAAGTATTACATAAACACCAAACAAAAATCATATAAGAAAAAGTACTAATTTTATCCTGAGATAAAACACAAACTACACTTGCCATGCCAGTTATATATACACTCTTTTACCCTGCATGTACAATTGTGAGAATTTGGTATTTTGCAAGTTACAAAATAATGATAAACATAAGTTGATGCAAAATTCAGCCATAAAAAAATAGACTTCATCTTGTAAATATTACTATGATGAAACACTGGGACTCCAGTTTCACTTATCAAAACTTTACAAAAATAAAAATGGTTGTTGGTTTCGATTATTCAAATCACGGCTGAAATCTTTTAGGCGAAGCATTCTATGCTTTTTTGTTGGTTTTATTTTTCCTTTCTTTTTCTCACACCAAGTGACCCAAAATATATTTTAAGAAATGTTTATTTCTGTGCATATTTTTAAAAAAATTATAAATTCCTGAGCACTTTTTCTTCTTCCTCCTCATCGCTGTCAGTGACGTTAACTTGCTGGATGCTTGGGGGAGTTGACGCGGGGGCTGTGAAGACGTTCTCCAAGGTGCCGATGTCCAGCGGAGGCATGGGCGTTAAGTAGTCCTCGCCATTGTGGCCGTGGCTGTTGTAGAAGGAGGACCCGTCCATGCTCTCACAACTCCGAGAGTTTTCACAGTGCGCGCGCTCATCTGGGTAGTCTCTAAAAGGGTAGTCTCTATTTAAAGCTGAAAACATGGCCTCATGTTTTTGGTACCTGTCTTCATAGTAACCTAGGCATTCTGGCATTGAACTCGGAAAATTTCCATAGCCAAAAGGAGGCCGACTATAAGGGCATGTGCTGCAACAGAAAGAAATAAAAGTGGAATTAGATCACACCTTGTCTAGATCATGCCTTGCACGCAGACAGAATGGAGAAAATCATTGCTCTTTGGGGCCTGCAAAGTTGCCAAGGTCCTTTCTAGAACCACTGAATGTATTCCTCTGCTCTTGTCCCACCTGAACTAATGTGGCAAAGCAAGCTTGTGACTGAAAAACTCATCGGCATTCTTATTTATTATCAGCTTCAGGCTTCTGATTATTGGCCAGCCTTGATAAAGAAAAATTGCGAACCTCAACCTTTCTCTAATGATGCCTCACCGGCTTTGGAAATGCAGGCGTGTATTCTACTATGCTAAGAATCGATATTTAAGAGGGAATGCAAAAATTGTTTTTGTTGACATTTTTTAAAAAGCTCAAGGGCTAAATGCACAATTGGGTTGAATTCTAGAGCTCTTGCACACTGGAGTGAGAGGAACTTAATTTTTAATTTGGCATTCAAAAATAAAGTAAGTTAAAACGCTCTTACAACCAGAAAGATTAAAACTGATATTAAACTGTGGTGTCAAGGCTCATTTCTAAGTTTTATTTTGGAGGGCAGGAATTTGAAAAGTTAAAAAGATGATTTTTTACTGTTGTACAAACTTGCACACTCACGGCTGTTGAGTCAATTCCAATTTATAGCAAACCTATAGGACAATGTAGAACTTCCCCACAGGGCTCCCAAGGCCAAGCTTTCTCCTGTGGAGTGGCTGGTAGGTTCAAACCG